TATATCTGTACATATATACATACATACATACATACATATGCCATCATGAGTCATTAGTCATACTTCTACTGTTATTATACACATATGACTATTGTCACACATGTATACTGCCAGATACTAATACATACTTTCAACATATTGTACCACAGTAGCCAGAACTATAACTATAATATTATTACTTTCAATAATGTTGTTGTAAGCTACTGTCATTACCTGCATCTCTCTCTCTCTCTGTCTCTCTCTCTCCCTCTGTCTCATTGTGTCATACGGATTACTGTTAATTTATTATTGTTATTATTATTATCCAAGATTCAACTATCGACCAGACCCTCTTCTCCATCACCCTGGCGTAGACCTTACCGGGTAGGCTGAGGAGTGTGATCCCCCTGTAGTTGAAACACACCCTCTGGTCCCCTTTCTTGAAGATGGGGACCACCACCCCGGTCTGCCACTCCAGAGGCACTGCCCCCGATGTCCACACAATGTTGCAGAGGCGTGTCAGCCAGGACAGCCCTACAACATCCAGAGCCTTGAGATATCCAGGGCGAATCTCCTCCACCCCCGGGGCCCCGCCGCCGCGCAGTTCCTTCACTACCTCAGCGACTTCTGCCCCCGAAATTGGACGACCCGCCCCCGAGACCCCTGGCTGTTTCCTCACTGGAATACGTGTTGGTGGGATTAAGGAGCTCCTCAAAGTATTCCTTCCATCGCCCGACAATGTCCCCAGTTGATGTCAGCAGCTCCCCGCCCCCACTGTAAACAGTGTGAGCAAGTTGCCGCCTCCTCCCCCGAGGCGCCAGACGGTTTGCCAGAACCTCTTTGGAGCCAATCGGTAGTCTTTCTCTATGGCCTCACCAAACTCCTCCCACGCCCGAGTTTTTGCCTCCGCGACTGCTGCCGCTGCACTCCGCTTGACCCGCCGGTACCCGTCAGCTGCTTCTGGAGACCCACAGACCAACCATGCCCTGTAGGCCTCCTTCTTCAGCCTGACAGCTCCCCTGACCTCTGGTGTCCATCAGCAGGTTCGGGGGTTACCGCCACGACTGGCCCCCGCAGCCTTGCGACCACAGCTCGCAACAACTGCCTCGATGATGGCAGAGCGGAACAAGGCCCATTCGGACTCAATGTCCCCCTCCGCCCTCGGGACGCGGTTGAAGGTCTCCCGTAGGTGGGAGTTGAAGATCCAGTGAGGAAACAGATCCAGGTCTGCGCGGCATCCTCCCCTGCCACCTGATCCAACTCACCACCAGGTGGTGATCAGTTGACAGCTCTGCTCCTCTCTTCACCCGAGTGTCCAGAACATATGGTCGCAGGTCAAATGACACTTCTACAAATTCAATCATTGACCTGCTACCTAGGCTTTCCTGGTGCCACGTGCACCTTTGGACATCTTTATGCTCGAACATGGTGTTAGTTATGGCCAAACTGCGACCCACACAGAAGTCCAATAACTGCACACCACTCGGGTTCAGATCGGGCAGGCCGTTCCTCCCAATCACGCCTGTTCTGTTCATATCTGAACATATACACATATCTATACACGTATACACATATCTGGACATATATACACACACATATCGGAACATATATAAACAGATATCTGTACATCGTCGTCACTGTTTGTGTTTAACTTGTTCAGATGTGTTGTCCTTGTTTGTAGTTGTTTGTTTACTGTGTACAAACATCAGAGCACCATAAACTGGTGCCATGTTCCTTGTGTGTTCACATACTAACTTCACCAATGAAGCTGATTGTAATTCTATCCCTCAGCCTGAACACATTAAAGAGACAGTGTCTATGTTTATCTTTGTGTCTTTTGTGTTTATGTTTCATCTGAAAACCTCATCTGGATCCTGTTTGAGTCCTGTGCTTGTATTTATGATCTGTTTCACTGTGTCTCTTCACTACAGATTAAAAACAGAATGGCCTGAGGTGGAGATATTTTCACTGTTAGTCCAAAACCACTGCAGCCTACATTTCCCATGATGCGCCTGGATGTTGTCTTTTATAAGATCCTGCAAACAGCCTCGTCTTTCAGACCTCACAAAGATTGTACGTTAGAAATCTGTTGTCTCCGAGCTCAGGTAAAACGGACTCTGTGTTCAAGTGTTGTTGTTGTATTGTGGTGATGAGACTCACTCTGTTGTCCCCAGCTGGAGCGAGTGGGTCAGTCATCCACGATCCAAACCTGGATCCAGACGTCTTCATGGTGATTGGCTCAGAGATTCCCGTCAGTTTTCCACATGCTGAAAATAAAAATATAACATACAAACTGTAGCTCAGATTTCAGGAGGTACATAAAGTTTTGTTTGTGGTCTTTACAGCTTTGAAAACTTTGAAAGCAAGGGCAGCACCGCAGTTTTCACCACTGCAGCAACGCCCGCGGTCAACACCAGCGAGGAGGAGACACTACGCCCAGCCAACGTCAGCCCAACAGCGGGTCACCCAGCGGGACTGAGCCGGGAACCAGCAGCACAGCGCTCCAACCAAAAGGACAGCTTCCCACACACTAGCACATGTAAGATCTGTAACCCAGTACTCAAAAAACAAACGACTTAAATTATTCAGGGCACTTAATCAGGCTAGGACTATCTGGGATCCAGGGTATAAAAAGGTGGGGTTGTTTGGGGGCCATTTAAATGTTAGCAGCCTGGTGCCCAAATGAGAACAGATTGAACATTTATTATGTAATTCTAACGTCGATTTTATGTTTATCTGGATTCTCTATTCTGTATGTAAAGAACAACTTGAAATGCAATCAGATTATATGGCCCAGCAACATCACACTTGAGTGCACTGGTGTAAACATCTCCCTTTCAAGAGAGATGTCTCTGACAGTTATCTGCATCTATTGCAAATCTACAGCTAACATTGATTTTTATGACCAAGGCACTCCTTACTTCATGTAATCATAAAAAAGAAATCCTACTCTTTGGCGATTTCAACATCAATTGGGATAACAATCTCACTCAGCTAACAGAACAACCCACCAGAGTTACACACTGCACACACTCTAAAATTGACTTAGTTTTCACCAATAAACCGGAAAAAATCACAAACACCCACAACCTGTTAACAGGTCTCTCAGACCATAATGCAATCTTCTTCTCCAGAAAAATCAAACGCTCAAAAAATCTGTGTCACACTCCAACCAACCATTCTATTAATATGACAGTCCCAAAGAATCAACTGGAATGTGGATAGAGCTCTGCCTGCACTGGCTTTATGGAATGCGATGATGCAGACGCTGGCAGTGACTTATTTATCTCGAAAGTCAAAGAGGTCGTCCTCTCTTTCTCCAGGAGGGGGCGCCAAGGCAGAAAGAAGTCCACATCTCTCCCCTGGCTCAACTCTGCCTGCCTAAAACTAATGAAGCTTAGGGATCAATTGTTCAGAAAATCTATTAAGTCTGGACTTACTACAGACAGACTCAACTTCACAGCAGCCAGAAACAAAGTGACGTCAGAATTACGCAAGGCCAAAGCTAATTTTTTTATCCAAATTATTGAGAACGCTAGAGGTAAAAGCAAAAATAAAAAATATGGCAGAATATGAACAAATTGACAGGGAAACAACCCAAGCAGGAAATTAAAGGTTTGGAATTAAAAATTGACAATCAGCTGGTAAGAAACCCTGCTGTCCTGGCTCAAGAATTTAACTCTTTCTTCATAAAATCAATGGACGATATGGTGAAACAGTTCACAGCTCTTGAGGAACATGACCAGCAGGTTCCTACTTTATCTGACAATACTCAGCCCAAATTTTATATTCAAGAAATCACAGAACCAGAACTTAATGATATCATTAGTGCTTTGAAGAACTCTAAAACCATAGATATTTATGGGCTCGACACCAGTTTTTTGAAATCACACAAGGAAGCTTTAGCTCCCCCAATCATGCACTTGGTTAATTTATCAATTAGGAATTCAGTTGTCCCAAAGGTGTGGAAATTGGCCCCAGTCACCCCAGTATTTAAAGCTGGAGACAAGTCTGACATGAATAATTATAGACCAATCAGCATCTTACCTCTTACTTCCAAAATAATTGAAAAATGGGTTGCCAAACAAATCATTGAATTCCTTGGCAATAGCCAAGCTCCTTTACATCCCATGCATTTGGGTTTCAACCACACCACTCTAACAAGACTGCATTGACCAAGTTCATGGAAAAAATCAAACGTCATCTAGATAAAAATGGATGCGTTGGTGTCGTATTCCTAGATTTAAAATGAGCTTTCGACACCGTCAACCACACGGTGCTTCTATCTAAATTGTCCCAATTCAATTTTTCTACCCAAGCTATTAATTGGTTTGACTCATACCTATCACACAGACAACAATGCACTGTGGTGAATGGTGCCAGCTCCTCTTACATGGGTTGTCCAGTAGGGGTCCCCCAAGGGTCCATACTGGCACCCATTTTATTTTCATTGTATATTAATGATTTACCTGATTTTTCTTTACATGTGAATGTCCAGCTTTACCCTGACGACACTGTAATTTTTACTAAAGCTAAAAATCCTGAGGAGGCAGCACGTGTGGTCTCAATAGCTCTTACACACATACAAACATAGCTTAATAGATCGTGTCTTATCTTAAATGCAAAATAACTGTTTATTTTTGTCGAAGCAACCTTCTACTACCATGCTTTCTCACTCTGGTGGTTTTTTTTTGGGCTCAGAAGAGTTGAATGTTGTTAATGAGTTTAAATACTTTGGTGTGATTATAGACTCTAAACTCTCTTTCAAAAATCATGTTAAAATGTTACCCAAAAAAGTTAAATTCCATCTTTATAACTTTAAGCAAATCAGAGGTTCCCTATTAGCTGCAGCTGCTCTGATGTTTTTGCACTCTATGATACTTTCACATATGAGCTACTGCATCACCAGCTGGTCCATGTCAGGTTCTACTATTCTGAAACCAGTTGAGCTTCTGTATAAAAAACACTAAAAGCTCTACACAAAAAACCTTTATCTTATCATCACTGCAACATCTTAGGGAAATATAACTTGCTGGGTTTTCTTAATTTTTGTAAATTCTCCTCTGTATGCCTAATATATAAAGTGCTCCATGGCCTGGCACCACCCCCACTGAAACAGTTTATTAGATACCGACAGACTTGGACCACCAGAGCTGTTGCTAACAAGGACTGTGAGGTTCCCTTCAGAATAACCTCCTTCAGCCAAAATGCCCCGTCTATTAAAGGGAGTGCAGCTTGGAACACACTGCCCTCTACCATAAGGGAATGTCCCATCCTGGCCACTTTCAAGAGCCACCTGAAGGTGTGGCTTAGAGCAAACCAAACGTGCAATCACCTCTAACTGCATGCTGTACTGTATTAACTCTCTGTATTAACGCATACTTATGCACTGTCCTGTTTTCTATCTGCTTTTTCTTTCTTTTTTTGTTTGAATTAACAAATTTTTAATACTGTATATTTCTTGTTCTTTTGTATTGTGACATCAACCTGCCTAAAGGACTCCACATGGAAATTAGCCCCCAGGCTACGATCTGGCATATTTACATGTAGCTACTGCCGTACATGTTCATTAATATGCATTGTCCTGATTTTCTAAATAAAATAAAATAAGATGACAATAAGACAGCCCTGTCACAGTATGATGACCTGTCCAGGGTAAACCCCACCTCTCACCCACTGTCTGCTGGGATAGGCTCCACCCCCCACAACAACTGCGACCCCTGACAGGATGAAGTGGTTATGTTACAGAAATCACTCGTACTGTTGACAGAAGACATTTGTTTGGTTCTGTTTTATTCTTAAAGTTCCAACAAATCCAGCATCAGCGCCTCCTCATCTGGGTGTTTGTTTGGGAGACACAGTGAACAGTTTATTCAGTGCTGCAGGTCGAAAGTATTTTTGTTGTTAATATGCACATTTACTTTTTGTGGTGGACCCAAAACAAATACACTGAAAAAAAAAACAGTTTTAATGTCGAAAACAAATTCTGAATTCCATAAGTTATTTTCTGTTTAACTACTGGCCCTTTGTTTATTTGTTTGTTTGTTTTTTTCTTGTTTACTCACCCAGCCTCTGCATGCAGGCCCTCAGCCGGTCCTCCAAGTTCATCACTCGGCTGTGGAGCTCCTGGTAGTCCAGACCTCCCAGCTGCTCCTGCAGTGATCCCAGCAGCTCTGTCACATTCGCCGCCTCCTCCTTAAACTGTCGGACCAGCAGAGCGTCCGCCTTGTAGGCCTCCAGGACTGGGATCAGAGGTCGTAACTCCTCCATCTTTGCTTTGATGGACTGACAGACAGACGGACAGATGGACAGACGGACAGCAGAGTTCAGTTACCGTCCAGACGTCGGACATCTGAAGGTGTTTGTTGACTCGACTGCATTTCATAAATAACTTTAACAACACGAGTCAGTTTTTTCAGACACTGTAGAACGTTACGATATTGAATCACTTCACACCGATCTGTACTGAGAATTGACACCATGTCTTCACAGGGTGGGGGCTATCGGCGCAAGGGAATTTCAGGGGGAATGAAGGAGGACGAGGGGGATATCGTTCCAAAATAAGTCCCCCTTGTTGACCTAACATCCCTCTCTGTCTAGGTCTGGACCCAGACGGTGTTGGAAGAAAAAGATTCACATTGTTTTTATGTTTCAAATATCAACCATTATATGTCACATTACATAAAGACTGTGGCTGAGCCTCAAAAAAAAGTTTGGAGTACAGGGGCTGTAAAGACACTTGAGCCCATCGGCCTTCTGAACAGAAAGCTTTAATTTTTATACAAAGTTACAGAAATGTCGCTGACTGATAATCTATTGCTCTCTGAGGGAAAAGCAGCACACATCACAGTTACCTCAACAACCTTGTGCTGTGCTCATGTGGTGTTGGAATTAGGGGTGTCCCCAACTAAGAATTTTCATAGTTGAATTGAGTTAGGGTTAGGGATTTTTCCTTCGGCCAACTAATCGTCAAATCATGTTTTTTTTTTTTTCCCCTCATTGATTAATGAGCTCATTTGCGTCAGTTTCTGCTCTAGAGAAAAGAGCTAATGAACAAATTAAATTCTTCAGTTGGCATAATAAGATAATAATAATAATAATAATAAAAGTAAAAGAGTTATCATTTCATCTTTATCTCTACTCCTTTCAATTCATCAAGGTATGATGCTCTAGATGAGCACAGACGTGCTGCAGCCTCATCCATGTCTTTAACAGGAGTCATTTCTGATGCGTCAGAACTTGCCCTTTCATTCACAAATAAACATGCAAAAACATCATCAACAGGTTTAGAAACAGTTTTCCTTCTTTCTGACTTCAAGTTACTTCATTAACCCTATGGGCCCTAGGCCTTTTTTGGCGTGTTTTTCCTGCCTTTACTTTTAAGCTCATATCACAGTCATTATAAAGGCTACATACACATGCTATAGCTTGTTTTGTTTTGTTTTTTCAGGTCAATCAGGGCTAACCAGATTTGCCATCATTACATGTCCTTCTATGTGCCTGTATTTTATATTAATTTTTATATCAATGGAAAAAACAAATCTGTGTGACTAAATTCTTACATTTTTACATGTATCTCACCATAGCAAGTTAGAAATTGACATATTCTGCCATATATGAAGAGGGGAGACTCTCTGGAATCTGGCAATATAAGAACCATGATGGTGGGACATTCTGTCACTTCACAGCTGTTCACAACATGTGGTTTGTGCCAGGCGGACATGATTGCCAGTATTTTTTCATTATTGCAAGAAATTCCATTGACTCATTCACAAGTCAAAAATGTGTTTTATTTGAAAGAAAAATGCAATATTTACATCTAAGATAATAGAAAAATAGTCAACCAAGTACAATGATATCCTCCAAGATAATATTTGCTACTTTGTTTGCAGTAAAAAAAAAAGTTTGTTGTTGTTTTTCAGTTTCAGTTATATATTGGGGGAACATTTTGGGCACTGGGGGGGGCACATGTTCCCTTCAATGTATATGGTGACTACGGCCCTGTCAGCATGCATAATTAGGCTGCAGTTGTCTGGGTGCGCAAAGCTGAAGTGCGCTGGTCTTGTCATACAAAGTTTGATGGAGTGTCAACTGGACAATATGGAGATATTTGCATCTTAAAAGCCGGACTACAAATGTGGATAGACAGGGAGAAACACACGCAAGCCTAAGACGTGGTAAGATACGATATTCCTCACTATATGAAGTGACTGATAACAAGATCTGTATAATGGATTGTAAAGAAATTCGTCAAGTTTTTATTTTGTAGACAATTAATCTGTATTTATAGCATGATGGGATGACAGTACAATGATGTGTGTGGTATCACTGGAAAGCTCTGCTCCTGCGCTTTCATGTGATATGTGTGGCATTTTGGTGCGAGCCTGCATTCACGAGTAATCCATCCAAGAGTAATGTGTGTGCAAAGCTGTATGAAAGCTCTGTTATACATCATTTTAGTGAAACTTTATCAATTTTTTTTCACTGTGAAAACACTGGACTACCGACAAGTGCTTGGTCTTGTCGGAAAGCTACGATTCACACTGAAACTCACTGTTTCACATGATATACGTGGCTTCTCACTATGACACATGGTCGCGGAGAAAATCAATGGAGAAGAACAGGTGTGAATTTGGACACACTATGCGTCGTTCGGGCCCATAGGGTTAATCAACTCAGGTTCATACAAGTTCATCCACACAGACCGTGCGTTACCGCTCTCAATTGTTTGGCCACGTCGGGAAAAAAGTATCCTAATAAATAATCAGAGCCTATCAAGAAAACAATCAGTGGTGAAATTCATTTCAAGACACTTCAGGTAAACGAATAAAAAAGTTTGATTTGAGAGCACATACCTCCTCCTAAGTGTTTCCACCACCGTAAATCATCACCACATGATTCCCAAGCACAGCACCGCTGCTGCTCACCGCTCCCTCAGGGGATGGGTCAAATGTGAAGAACAAATTTCACACACTCAGGTGTGTGACAATCAGTGGGACTTTAACTTTAACTTTAAATCACCGTAGGCCTCGATGCTGCTCTGATGGTCCTGCAGCACACTCACTCACCTCAGCTATTTTTGGATCGAGCAACTGGGTGATTTATTCATGCGTAGTAATGATTATACCTACTGATTAAACGCATGCATCATTTTCAATTTTTTATTAATAGAAATTAGGCTGATGTTTGTATCAAAATAGGCTATATATCATGAATAACTAGAAAACAAATACATTCTATGTCAAATCAAGATGTTCAGCAGCAATGAGCACCCCTATATAGTCAGAATGGTAGTCTTGTTTCATAACCACATCTTGCGACAATTCAATGGCGAGACTGGCCATCGAATCAGACTTCGCCAAATCAAATCTCCGAATCATCGACTATTCAGGGTCACCCCTAGTTGGAATAATCTTAAAAATGAGTGCCTGATCTTATTCCTCACTTGATCCATTTCTTTTGTCCTTCATAATCAATAACATGTTGTTTAACGCTCTGAGCAATAAAATACATCTTTGTAGTGTCAGTGTTGTTTCCACATTATAACTTCACAGGAACACAGCAAAGTTGGAAGAACAACTATCTGAGGAACACCTGGATGCAACCTTGGCCTCGACTGACAAAGGTCCGATTTAATTGTTCTTCAGTCGTTCGTTCAGAGTCATTACTGCACTGTGTTGGAGCAGTTATGGTATCAACTGACCGCTTTAAAGTTATTAATGAAATATAAACTGTAGTTTTATCATCTGGTATTTCAGGAAACAGGAAGTCAGTATTATTTCGGGATGCATTGTAAAACATCTATTTTTTCTGCACTGTGTATATTATATAATCAGTCCTATTTTCTGAATGATGAGTCTGCTTGGATGATACGCGTATATGTATTGACCACATAAACCCAACATGTGTCGAATGGTTTGTTTGGTTTCATTCAGCGAGCAAAGCTGCAACGCCGTCTGACCTCTCGTCCTATTCAATAGATTCTTGTTCACTCACTGTAGCAGGCATTGTGAGCGTGAACTCTACCCTCTACCCTACAATAACAGCAAGAGAGAAAAATCAGGGATTCATGAGCACGGATCAGTTCGACAGGCTGAACCAGAACGTATCAGACACTAAAAACAGTCGTTCAAAAAGATTAATTTGTTCATTTTCAGCCATCACGAGTCCCAAAGTGAGAAATACACAATGAGGTCACAAAAACAAACGTACTCAAAAACACAAGGCAGGAAGACAAAAGAAACATAGGTCAGAAGAACTGCGGTCAGTTTGACAAACAAATTTAGCATAAACAGTTAACACCTCCCATGACAATGTTTACAACTTAGATTCATTCTAAATAAAAAGCTTTCACGATGCCTTTGATCTGTCCACTCGTACAAACTAAAACAATTTAAATGAGTGAAGAGTGGAAAATGAAATGAATAATACTTTGGTGCTCATAGATTCTGTACGTAGAATTTAATGATTGAATTGTGGTGAATCTAAGAGAGCTAATGATGTGTAGCATTTCCATAAAGTTTAAACATTTAACAATATATTTAGATGTGCCAAACCTGTTAAAAATGTACATATTGCTGCCGGTTAGAGCAAAGCATGAGCCCAGGTTAGAGTGAAACATGAGCAGTAGCTTCAGTTGTCCATCTTCACAGGACACCCTCGGATTCAGTCAAGACTCAAAGACTACCATGAACACTTCAGAAAGTGCAGACGGGACAGTTTGAGGACTGGTTCACCTCTGAAATGAAACACTTCAGTTTACAGAGCACTTTGGTTAGTAGCCTAAGTGACATGATGTCCGGAAGGCTGAGATGAGTCATGATGTCATTATGTGGGCGGTACCTTGTACTGTCTGGCGATGTTGCTCTCATGTCCATCTTCCACCTGTTTGAATTTGTTTTCAAGACCTTTCAGTTGAACTTCCATCCTCTCCACAAACTGCAGATCTCTCTGAGTTCGCTGGTCCAGAACTTCGATGGACTGACTCATGTTCTGAACCTGGATGACACAAACACGTCACAACACATGACGCTGCTGCCAACGTTCGGGTAGGGGGCTCAGGGTAGGGTGTTTAGGGTAGGGGGGTCAGGGTTAGCAGCATTATCATCAGTAATGGTGTCCTGTACCTTCTCCAGAAGCTGTCGGAGCTGTTTGGTTCGGGCATCTCTGGAGCAGACCGTCTGCTGGGGAGCGACCACCGTACAGACACATCGACCTTCAGAGTCCTGAGCTGAACTGTACACCTGCCAGCCTTCCTCAGGGGCAGAAGGACCCACCTGTCAGACAGGAAATCGGAGGACAACCGTGAAAAAAAAGAAACTGATGACTGTAATAACTGCAGTGCAAAGTCCAACTAATCAATCAATCAATCAACCAATCAATGAAAGACAGACACTGTTAGTCAGTTAGACATCAGACTTTAACTCCTCCAGTCCTGCTCAGGGACACAAAGACCCGTCCTGATTAAAACCAACAGGAAGTCACGTTGTTGTCATTTGTGTTTGCTGCCCTCTGCAGGCTGAACTCAGAATCACATGCTGATTTATGTACCCTGGTTTAATTATCAGTGTTTAATAATAATTTATAATAATGAGACTTTATGTTCGATATTTGATATTTCATAGAAGGGTTCGTTTTTGGAACAGAGACTCTGCCTCCTCTCTGATGTCATATCGAGTCACAGTTTAACATTCAACTAGAAAACATTTATCTCTGTCTGTCTCTGTCTTTCTCTGTCTCTCTCTCTCTCTCTGTATGTGTCTGTCTCTCTCTGTCTCTTGTCTCTCTCTCTCTCTGTCTCTGTCTGTGTCTCTCTCTCTCTCTGTCTGTCTCTCTCTGTCTCTCTCTCTGTCCATCTCTATGTCTGTCTCTGTCTCTCTCTCTTTCTCTGTGTCTGTCTCTGTCTGTCTCTGTCTCTGTCTTTCTCTGTCTCTGTCTGTCTCTATCCTTTCTCTCCACCCTGGGATGGGAGGAGGGTGGTGACTGATGAAGAAACCAAACGTGTTAATAAAAAAGTGTTAAAAATGTGTGAAAATGAAAAAAAGTGTTAAAAATGTGTGACGCCTGTTATTTTGTTCATGATTCGGAGAAATTAAATATTCGACTGTGAAACTTGACCATTTGTCATAATGCAGAAATCATTTTTATATAATATATAATATATAATATATTATTATAAATTATTTTTAATGTGAATTTAAATAAAAATATTTCTGATAAAACTTTCGTGATGCATCAGAATGAAAACATTACATCAGTTTAATTAAAAACAGAAACATTAGTCATGGATTCGTCAACAACACTCCATATTGATTATATTTATACTGACTGATTGATCTGAAATCTGAAAGAACAAAGACGCGTTGTTTTTTTTCAGAGATTCAATAAAACTGAACAGCAGCTTTTTTATTTTATCATATGTAATATTCAGACAACGTCGAGTTAAAATAAAGAAAGTTTAAAAGTTATAAATGAAACACATCAAAAATCCTACAGAAAAACATCTGCTGGATCATTTTCTGTCTCTGATTTTAATCTGTTTAATAACCTGGATTTTTCACATTTATTAACGTCTGATGACAAAAATCTGAATCAACTTTGGATCCAATTAAAAACCTTGATGTGATTATTGATCTGTTTGTCACAGGTACGATTCCCTCTGAACCGCTGAGCAAGGCAGCACCTGTGATTAGATCTGTTCCTGTGTGATGGAGAGGTGCATGATGGGACTGATTCATTTCAGTCTGAAAAATGAGATGAATCTTAAAACTAATTAACTGTTCAAATCTCTGATGTTTCATTATTGATCAATCAATCGATCAATCCGAGGCTGTCAATTGAATTATCAAAAGGAACATCAGAAGAACTCAGTAGAGTGTTGTTACACAGTTTCAAGTGGGAGTACAATTGAACACAGTAGAATATAAATAGAAACACAAGATATCCACCACACAGTAGAACAGGTCAGGGTAGAATAGAACACAGTGGAACAGGTCAGAGTAGAATACAACACAGTGGAACAGGACAGGGTAGAATAGAACACAGTAGAACAGGACAGGAATAGCACACAGTAGAATAGGACAGGAATAGAACACAGTAGAACAGGACAGGGTAGAATAGAACACAGTAGAATAGCACAGGAATAGAAAACAGAAGAACAGGACAGGAATAGAACACAGTAGAACAGAACAAGAATAGAACACAGTAGAACAGGACAGGAAAAGAACACAATGGAACAGGACAGGGTAGAATAGAACACAGTGGAACAGGACAGGAATAGAACACAGTAAAACAGGACAGGAATAGAACACAGTTGAACAGGACAGGGTAGAATAGAACACAGTGGAACAGGACAGGAATTGAACACAGTGGAACAGGACAGGAATAGAACACAGTAGAACAGGGCAGGAATAGAACACAGTGGAACAGGACAGGAATAGAACACAGTAGAACAGGTCAGAGTAGAATAGAACACAGTAGAACAGGACAGGAATAGAACACAGTGGAACAGGACAGGAATAGAACACAGTGGAACAGGACAGGAATAGAACACGGTAGAACAGGTCAGGGTAGAACAGAACACAGTAGAACAGGACAGGAATAGAACACAGTGGAACAGGACAGAAAGAGAACACATTAGAACAGGACAGGGTAGAATAGAACACAGTGGAACAAGACAGGAGTAGAACACAGTAGAACAGGACAGGGATAGAACACAGTAGAACAGGACAGAAAGAGAACACAATAGAACAGGACAGGAAGAGAACACAATAGAACAGGACAGGGCAGAATAGAACACAGTGGAACAGGACAGGGTAGAATAGAACACAGTGGAACAGGACAGGAATAGAACACAATAGAACAGGACAGGGTTGAATAGAACACAGTGGAACAGGACAGGAATAGAACACAGTAGAACAGGACAGGAATAGAACAGAGTAGGACAGGACAGGAATAGAACAGAGTAGAACATAATAGAACAGAGTAGAACACAATAGAACACAGTAGAACACAATAGAGTATAAATAGAAATACATCGTTACCACGGTGAGGTGAGATCCGATGAGCAGCACCAGAAAAACGTTGACCAGATTCTCGTCAGTCTCCATCTTTCAAACGCTCTCCTCTTCCTCCTCCTCCTCTTCCTCGTTAACTCTTTAATGACCTGATCTGTACGTTAACCTGCTGATGGCTCCACACTCCTTTCTTCATCTGTCGTCTCTGCTGCTCTCTGCTCCTCTTCCTCCTCCCTCCCTCTTTCTGCTGCTCTTCCTCCGCCCTCCCTCCTCTCTCCGGTGCTGCTTTTCCTCCTCCCTCCCTCCTCTCTCTGGTGCTGCTCTTCCTTCTCCTTCTCTCCTCTATGCTCATGCTCTTCCTCCTCCCTCCCTCTTTCTGTTGCTCTTCCTCCTCCCTCCCTCCTCTCTCTGGTTCAGCTCTTCCTCTTCCCTCCCTCTCGTTCCTTTTCTTCTCTTGTGTGACACCAAAAATCAGCCGAGTGGAAACAATAACGTTCTCCAGCTCACAATGTGTGTGTGTGTGTGTGTGTGTGTCTGTGTGTGTGTGTGTGGGGGGGGGGGGGGGGGGGTTTGAGTACTGAATTCCAGGTGGATCAGAACAGGAAGATACAAACAGAACAAAGACTGATCATTCATCAGTGCAATGGTTCTCAGGTTTAAAGACTTTACAGACCTTCAGATGCCTGGGTCAGGGGTTAGGGTCAGGGGTCAGGGTCAGGGTCAGCAGGGTCAGGGTTAGCAGCGTCAGGGTTCAGGGGTTTGGGGGGGTTAGGGGTTAGGGTTATGGGGCATCTGACAGAGTGAAACTGAATTTTAGCAACAGACAACAAAACACAGCATTTTTTTAAACAGTCAGGAGATGAAACTGATTTCCACTCTCTCTGGTGAATCCTTTGTGTTCTGAGCTGTTTTTCAATCTGCTTGTTTTGCATTTTATTGTCCTGCATCTTCTCCCCAAGGGCAGTGGAGAGAACAGAGTGTCCAGGGGGTGTGGTCCTTGGAGATGCTACTGGCCTTCTTTTTTATTCAGCCTAAGTCGGCCAGTATAAATGTCTGTGTAGGTAATGGTGATCCAACGATACGATGTGCTGCCCTCACCACCAGTGCATCAGTGGGTCAGGATGCTCTCTATACCTGAGCGGTGGAAGTTGATGAGCAGGTGGTGAGAGAAGTGAGCGTGTTTTAAATTTCTGAGGAAATACAGTCTCTGTTTGGCTTTCCTCACCTGGTGAGAGATCAATCAATCAATTTTATTTATAAAGCCCAATATCACAAATCACAATTTGCCTCACAGGGCTTTACAGCATACGACATCCCCCTGTTCTTAGGACCTTCGCAGCGGGTAAGGAAAAACTCCCCCCCAAAAAAACCCTTTAACGGGGGAAAAAAAAAACAGTAGAAACCTCAGGAAGAGCAACTGAGGAGGGATCCCTCTTCCAGGATGGACAGACATGTGTGGTCCAGATGAGGTCGGCTGAGATGTGAACTCCAAGGAACTTAAAGCTTTCTACCCCCTCAACCTCCTCCCCATGGATAAAGAGGGCAGAGTGCTCAGTGTGGTTGGATTTCTTGAAGTCCACTAGGATTTCCTTGGTTTTAATGGTATTCAAGTCCAGGTTATTTTGAAGACACCAGCTTGTCAGGTGCTGAACTTCTTCTCTGTAAGCTATTGCTACTTCCTCCATCTCACAAAATGTTATGGCCACAATCATTTCTACAGGAATGAGGAGGCATACTGCTGCACAGATGAAAAATGCTATCAGAGACACTGGAGTCTGAGGACAGAAGAGATGTACTGACATCCCATCACCAGTGACTATCATATACTGTACAATAAAGTCTGAGGGATGAGATCATTACTCTATTAATCATAAAAGGAATTCAGCAGGAGACTGGAGATCAATGAGAGACAATGGAAGTCCACCAGCAGACTCAGTCTATATCAGCCTCACTAGGGGCTGGTCAAAGACAAGCCTGAGCCACTCCTAACCATAAGAGTTAGCCCTAACTATAACAGCCACTCCTAACTATGAGTCACTCGTAACTATAAGAGTCATCCTTGACTATAGGAGTTAGTACTTACTATAAGAGTCAGTACTAACTATATGAGTCAGCCCTAACTATAAGAGCCAGCCCTAACTATAAGAGCCAGCCCTAATTATAAGTCACTCATAACTATAAAAGTCAGTACTAACTATAAGAATCAGCCCTAACTATAAGTTATCTTTAACTATAAGAGTCAGCCCTAACTATAAGAATCAGCCCTAACTATAAGTCACTCCTAACCATAAGAGTCAGTACTAACTATAAGAGTCAGCCCTAGCTATAACAGCCACTCCTAACTATAAGAATCAGCCCTAACTATAAGTCATCCTTAACTATAAGAGTCAGCCCTAACTATGAGTCACTCATAAGTATAAGAGTGATCCTTAACTATAAGAGTCAGTACTAACTATAAGTCACTCGTAACTATGAGAGTCATCCTTAACTATAAGAGTCAGTACTAACGATAAGTCACTCGTAACTATAAGAGTCATCCTTAACTATAAGAGTCAGTACTAACTATAAGAGTCAGCCCTAACTATAAGAGTCAGCCCTAACTATAAGTCAGCCCTAACTATGAGAGCCAGCCCTAACTATAAGAGTCAGCCCTAACTATAAGAGTCAGCCCTAACTATGAGTCATTCGTAACTATAAGAGTCATCCTTAACTATGAGAGTCAATACTAACTGTAAGTCACTCATAACTATAAGAGTCATCCTTAACTATAAGAGTCAGTACTAACTATAAGTCACTCGTAACTATAAAAGTCAGTACTAACTATAAGAATCAGCCCTAACTATAAGTCATCCTTAACTATAAGAGTCAGCCCTAACTATAAGGATCAGCCCTAACTATAAGTCACTCTTAACTATAAGAGGCATCCTTAACATTAAGAGTCAGCCCTAACTATAAGTCACTCATAACTATAAGAGTCATCCTTAACTATAAAAGTCAGTACTAACTATAAGAGTCAGCCCTAACTATAAGTCACTCATAACTATAAAAGTCAGTACTAACTGTAAGAATCAGCCCTAACTATAAGTTATCTTTAACTATAAGAGTCAGCCCTAACTATAAGTCACTCTTAACTATAAGAGTCATCCTTAACTTTAAGAGTCAGCCCTAACTATAAGTCACTCATAACTATAAGAGTCAGTACTAACTATAAGTCACTCGTAACTATAAGAGTCATCCTTAACTATAAGAGTCAGCCCTAACTATACGAGTCAGCCCTAACTATAACAGCCACTCCTAACTATAAGAGTCAGCCCTAACTATAAGAGTCAGCCCTAATTATAAGAGCCACTCCTAACTATAAGAACCACTCCTAATTATAAGAGTCATCCTTAACTATAGGAATCAGCCCTAACTATATGAGTCAGCCCTAACTATAAGAGCCAGCCCTAACTATAAGAGCCACTCCTAACTATAAGAGTCAGTACTAACTATAAGAGCCAGCCCTAACTATATGAGTCAGCCCTAACTATAAGCTTTTTCAAAGAAGAAGGTCTTCAGTCTAGTCCTTAATGTAGAGACAGTGTCTGCCTCTTGGACTGAGAAAGGAAGATGGTTCCACAACAGAGGAGCCTGAGAAGGTTCTGGCTCCTGTTTCACTTTTCAAGACTTTTGGAACCACAGTTACATCTCCCATCAGAAATTAATGCCCCAGTAAAGAGGACAAATATCTTCAAAAGCTTGCTTTTATTGGCTCTTTTATTGAGGAAAATGAATGTACCTGTATTTATGTAATGGGTGATATCAATGCCGATATCTCTGATAGGAAGTCTGTGTTTTGCCAATACTTAATTGAGTTTTGTCATGATAATGAGCTTTTTTTAACTAGTAAGATCCTCTTGCCAACGGATAGCTATACATATGTCAGTGAGGCTTGGAATACAACATCTTGGCTAGATCATTGTATTAGTACAGCTGATGCCCACGAATGTGTAGATAAAGTTGAGATTTTGCATGGGCTTGCAACAACAGACCACATAACTGTCTCCATTATGCTAAATATAGAAAACATACCTACACTGACCACTAATGATAATCAGGTTAATCATGGTGAGAAAACTGAGTGGGCTAAACTCTCAGAGAGTGACCTATTATATTATCATGACTTGACCGAGAAGAGCATAGGGAACATTCAAATTCCATATGATGCTATAATGTGTGGTAATATTAACTGTGGTAAGTCAAATCACAAAGAAGAATTATGTGTACTGTATGACAGAATTGTGCAGGGTCTGAATGAGGCTAGTAAACCATTCATTCAGAGAAGGGCAAAACAGTATAATCTCAGGCCAGGCTGGAACGAGTATGTGGATGAACTTCATCAGCAAGCCAAAGAAGCCTTTAAAAATTGGATTATTGCAGGTAAATCAAGGTATAGACCTGAGTGTGAAATTAAAAAGCAGGCTGTCACTCGGTTCAAATATGCAGTACATTTTATTAAAAGGAATGAACTGACTCTGAGAGCAAATGCACTGGCTAGGAAGATGCAACAAAATGATGTTAAAGATTTCTGGAAAGAAGTCAAGATTATGAATCATAGTAAAATACCTTTGCTCTCTAGTATGGAGGGGGTGATTGGCAGAGTAAATATCACAGAATTATGGAGAAGACACTACATGGAGCTTTTTAACTGTGTCAAAAGTGATGTTTTTATTGTTGGTGATGTTTCCCATGATAATGTGGTCATTAGGCCTGATCACGTCAGTTATGCCATCGGGAAATTGGCTTTAAATAAATCCTGTGGCCTTGATCAGATCTCTGCAGAACATTTGAAATTTTCATGTCACAGAGTTTCTGTATTACTTGCTTTGTGCTTCACAGCAATGCTGATGCATGGTATACTACCTGACTCCATGCTCTCAGTCCTGTTGGTGAGAGTAGTTAAAAATAAAATGGGGAACATGTCCAGTACTGACAACTATAGGCCCATTGCTCTGGCTAGTGTATTATCAAAAGTGATAGAAAGAATCTTGCTGGATAGGTTGGATGAATATATTGTCACCACAGATAATCAGTTTGGATTTAAAAGTAAACATGGCACTGACGTGTATATATGCTCTGAAAGAGGCTGTCAGTAGCTATAGTAAACATAACTCTACCATGTTTATGTGCATCTTGGACGCTTCTAAAGCCTTTGACCGCATTAATCATGGGAAATTGTTGAAAAAGTTACAAA